ATATTATAAACATTATATTTTTGATATAAATACGGCTGAGGGAGAGGGTTATAACACCCAAAACCCCCCCCTGGCTACGCCACTGTTATTATTAGGTAGGTAATATTAGTTGTACGATCAATAATATTATAATTTGTACGTAAATTAAAAATGTAGGATAGTGTAGGTCTTAATTATAAAGTTTATGTAATATGATACTAAGAAAATACTTTGTCGATTTTCGTTTATTTTTGTGAAGAGATTGTTCTTCCAACTTGTTTATTGGTTAATACGTGCAGAAAAGTTTGAATGTACCCTTGATTCGGTCTTAATTTGTGACTATAGATAGACAAGAAATATAGGGTTTAGGTTTATACGTATATCTCAGATGCTCTATATGTCCATACCTGCAGGGTATTAAAAAATTGTATGCTTTTAAATTTTTAAAATTGGTGGAATAAGTTATTTGGAAAAAGTCTTATATATCGAATAATAAACATATGAAATCAACAATCGATTTAAATTTACTACGTCTAAAAGTGCTATAATAATTATTACAAACCGATTATGTTGATCAAAATGTTGTATACAACGTAAATACATTATCGTTATGATGTTGATTGTCGACATTTTACGATTTATGTTAATAATTTTAGTGAGAGCCGAGAGAGGATAGTAATAGTATAATGGGTTGTATAATTGACACAGTAAAAATCTCTTTAGAGTTTTAGACACCTGAGTTTATTGTTAAGCTTTTAAAGTTTTTACTAAAAACGGCGTGTAAAATAAATGACTGTCAAACTCTTAATGTTCTCTCCGATACAAATGGATTAATTTTTAATCGGATCAAAAGTCAGAAAGTATAATACTTTTAAATACTAACACATCCATTGAATTACATTCACGTATTGTTAGCGGGCATTGTCAACGTGAAAATTTATTATTAAATTAATTTTTAATCGCGAGTCAAGTTATTACAGTATGAGTTATGTTTTAATAAAATGTAATTTTATGTCAAACCTACCATTTTAGCAGACATGTACGTGACGCAGTGCTTAAAATATTATTTGTTTTTATTTTTTAAACATAATATATGTATATGTACTTTTATTAAATGTCCCCGCGATATTATAATATCATTCCTCAGTCAAGTACACGGATAACTCAAAATAATAGAATAAAATTGTAAAAATAAATACAAGAATGTAGACTATACATAGTGTCTGGCAGATAAACATTTATGATAAATCGTACACTAAAAATTATATAATGTATTTGAACCTTAATTTGTTACTATTTCAACTTTAAGATATTATAATATCTGACACTTAATATTAACTTGACTTTATCCAATCGAGCATTTTATTATATTATTTATATACATTAGGTATCATTTATAATATTATGTTATCGTTCTATAATTATTATAAGTACCTATAATAAACAACAATTTATATTCATAATATTCTTGCTATTTAATATGTGTAGAATATATTATTATTATTACTACTAATTGGCCTTCCTTTTTATGATATTAAAATATATTGCTGTATTTTAGTTAAACTTTTTATATTCTATTTATATATTCTATTATTTATTATACAATTTTATTATACATATACTATGATATTATGGTTTTATTTTCATTTTCATTCGTTTATTTTAATTATAAATATTTAATTTAAGAATAATGTCTATAATAATATTAACCTATATGAATGAAATAACTAGTTTAAAATCAATTAAATATAAGTACTCAAATGCTTTTATCAAAATTATTGTTTCCGTGACCACCGTGAACACCTTTATCACATTATCTAATATTTTATCTGAATTCCACAGACGCGAAGTTATCATTTTAATGTTTTTACTAAAAGTTAATTGAAATCTTATATATAAAATACCACCAATAATCATAGATAATAATTATAATAATTAGTATGCGATTCGTTAATTTAATATATAAATATATTATGTATATAACAAAATATATAGGCACCAGTGATTTTTTTTTTATTAATTATATATGCGGTTTAAGTAGACATTTAAAATATATAAAATTATAGGTATTATGTACCATACAACGCAAGAAAAATAAAAGATATACTTTTTCGTTGATTTGTATTATATAGGCCATTCAAGCCGTTCGCTTAAATCATCACTATCCACTACTACTCATCTATCATTATAATATGCTATTCCTTCACTATTGTTTATCCCCTGTGTGTTAAGATACTTCTGTACTCTGTCAATCCGTCTTAGACATTAAAATGCAGCCGATATTACTCGTCGGGGTAAATTTTACAATTTCTCAAACCATAATAATTATAATATGCTTGACCAAATAATAATTCTACTTTTCGTCACTATAACTATATTATCTCAAATTCCACACAAAAAAGACTAGTAATTTATTACTATCAATTTTAAACTAAAAAATATTACGTTTATCAAAAAAAAAATTACAATAATAAACAAACGGATTTTTTTCGTTTTTTTCCTATCTATAAAGGCGTCATGTATAGGCAATTTTAATACAGTGATTCGTATAATATGTAATATAATTATTATATCGAACATATTTTATAACTGTCTGTTTACATATTTGTTTTTTTTTTTTTTTTTTAAATCAAATAAATAACCAAAAATAATATAATATTATACATATTGTAAATCATATATTGTATATATTGTAAAGTACAGATATAAAATATAACCTTTAAAATCTTAAATTCTTAAAACAAATATTATATTGTTTTTTTTTTTTTTTTACCAAGATGTATATTATTATTATAGCAATTAAGCATAGTGTTAAATTAGGAAACTATATATTGTAAAACTGATATCGTTATACAGACAACAGACTTATCTAAAAAAGCAATTATTCTATTTTAATAGCTTGCCATTAACTTGGAATTTAGCAATTTCTTAAAGTCTATGTGGGAAGAAACTGTTAAATATCCATGGTCAACATACAAAAATKTAGATATCAAAAGACAGTTCAAATTAATGTCAGTTCTAGGAACAGACGCTTTACCCGAAGGCAAATTGAAAAAGGTATGCACACAAACTTTTGAGTTTTGATAAAAAAAAATTAAATGCTTGTAAATTATGAGTCTTTGTAATAGTTAGATGAAATCGTTTCGACCATGGAAAGTTTGTACGGCAGAGCAACCATTCCTGAATACGGAGACAACAATTCAAATCGCTCTTTGAGTTTGGAACCAGGTACATACATAAGCACCAACCATTTATTATTTATATTAAAATTAGTCATATATAACGTATATGCGAACAAACGAAATAGAGTTAAGTTAATCAGTAATAGGTTAGTGTTATTATTTTCTTTCTTTATTTCAAGATATAAATGACGTATTGGATAAAAGCACTGATGTTAATGAGCTGAAACATGTGTGGGTACAGTGGAGAGAAGCCACGGGAAAAAAAGTTCGACCTATGTATGCGGAATACGTAAGACTGTCCAACGAAGCGGCCAGATTAAACAGTTGAGTAATATTGTGAAAGTATAACGACACAGCGTAAAAATCTGTATACGTTATATCTTATCGTTTCATTTTCCCAATTTTATTGGATTTTTTCCATTTGAAAAATGCGTTCATGGCCACCAATACATATCATTAACATTGTATGATTTATGTATTAAAATATCGCCGCGTTTTATAGATTATACAGATGCTGCAGAATTTTGGATTCGAGGATATGACGTCGACGACTTTCGGCCGCGAATGGAACGTATATGGAATCAGATCAAACCTCTATACTTACAAATACACGCCTACGTACGCAGAAAGCTTAGGGAGTTATACGGTGATTCGGTGGTMACGAGAAGAGGACCTATACCAGCACATCTGCTCGGTAAATTTGAATTAACGACCGCTAACCGTATTATGTACTAGTTTTTGCGTTATGGTGTCTATGACATATTTTGTTGTATATGTTTATTAGGTGATATGTGGGCGCAGTCGTGGGAACGTTTGGATGATTTTACTCGACCCTATCCAACCATTGACGATGTAAACCCCACCTCAGCCATGATAAATCAGGTAATAGAATCGTTTTAAATTTATTAATTAATAAATAAAATCATTTTTTTTTTAAGGAAAATTACATCTTATGCCACCATCCTCCCACCCTCGTCAGCGTTTGACTCAAATAATATATACTGACCAAATTTTATAAACACAACCAAAAATAAAATCGTAATTTGTCTTCGATTTCAGAACTACACTCCGAAAAAAATGTTTAAAGTGGCCGAAGAGTTTTTCACATCGTTAAACTTGAGCGCAATGCCCCAAACTTTCTGGGATAAATCTATTTTGGAGAAACCAAATGGTCGTGATTTGGTATGCCATGCATCAGCTTGGGACTTTTATGATTCTAATGACTTTAGAATTAAACAATGCACATCGGTAAATTTTATGGATTTTATAACTGCCCACCACGAGATGGGACACATCCAATATTTCCTACAATACAAAGACCAACCGTTCATATACCGCGAAGGAGCTAACGAAGGTACCTACTTTGTTATATATTAAAATCAATTAATTTAACAAAATACGAGTACGGAGTAGGTATTGTAATTTATAGTATACTACTATTGTTTGGTAAAGTAATTTGTAATGTTAAAGTATTATACGTCATTATATACATGTACCAGTTAAAAGTTATCAAAAATTTAAACAGTCATAACTGACAACCCTAAAAAAGAAATAAACGTTAAAAGCTTTTAAATAAAATTTTTTTTCAGAACATTCATAAATGTTTGTGTGTCTTACCTCTTGCAGAACAAAATGATACACATTAAATAATACTTGATGTTTTTTTTAATAGTATACACTATAACCAACATTTTTTATTCCTATATAGTTTACTCTTAAAAAACTATATGTTAGTAAAAGTCCATTACACATGCATCAATTAATTTATTTAGTATTAATATCGGACTTTTTGTTGATATAACATCAAATTACAATTACTGTTGTCATCAATAATAAAAAGCATTCTCAGCAGCAATACATATAGGTATATTGAATAAATTATAATTTAGTTCACTCTTCAAACCTATATCTTTTTAGATTCTGAACGAAATGATGAATGTATTGATTTTACAATGATGAGTTTTTTTTTTTTTGTTTTTTTGTGTCTGTGTACAGCATAACTTGTCGAAATAATGCTTCAATTTCAAACTTTGGGGGTGGTTTCCGATGTAAAAGTGAATATCCTTGGAGCATTATAGATGTCAAAAGTAAACATTTTCCAACAGTTTTAAAAAAAATCGAGAAAAACAAAAAAAAATGACTGTAAAACTGGAATTTTTAAGCAAAACCAGTTTTCGACCAAATCGATTTTTTTATATGGTTGTAACTCAAAAACTAATAACTGTAAATACTTGAAATTTTCACCAAATGTTTATGTTAGTGTTATCTATATATACAGTTTAATTTTCAAAATTTTTTGATTTTTTTTGAGATATTTACAGACCACTGAAATTTTCGATTTGTATGAGAATTATTTTTGAAGTGTCGGTAAAAAAATTTAAGATGACCAAAAAAACTTGAAAATCGTTAATCATAATTTTTTTTTTACAAGCGTTTATAGTTCAAATTTTTACGAAATATGTCGAAAACGCGAACATTTTAATTTTAATGTTGAAAAATCATAAAAATGTTTGTGTTTATAACTAAGGATTAAAAATACAAGCTAAGCTTTCCATAAGTTTTTCTTCAAGTAGCTATAGAGAAAGCTCAAAGCGTCATTATAGGAAAAATGTTTTGAGTGTTTGAGTTTTAAATTTTTATGAAATCAGGTATATCTATGATAATATAAGTTATTATGAATTATGATAACTACATGCAATGTTTTTGGAAAAATTGATTAACCATGCCTTATGCAAAATGCGTCCTAATTGAAAAATAAAATATTTGTTTCAAAATAGAATATATGATAATATTTAAATATAATATATCCTAGACTGACAAATCATCTCCGTTCAGAATCGTTTTTCGACTTTTCGTATACAATGATACCTATCATTGCATTCAAATCTAACCTACCCTAGTCAGAGGTCCAAGGTCCACCCCACCACCTAATGTACAGCAGAGCGACATCCACTTACCCGCTTTATTTTTATTTAAACCATTAACAAGCACGTGTGATTATATATTTATATACAGTAACGGACACTGATTATATCGTTAAGAAAACTTTTTATAGTTTAAAAATGTTGTTTAGCACATCAACGATATTGTTCTGTAAGACGTAATGAGATAATAATCTATTTAGATAAAACTAATTGAGTCTCTAGAAAAATTAAACCAAAATAAAATATTTCTGATAAGGTTAAATCGTACATTTATGATGTTATATTGTTATATAATATTTAGAAATTCGAAAATGTATAGGTAACCTAAATATCAAGTACAATTTTCTTTTTTTCATGCATAAGTATTTAATTTTGTTTATATATATATATATATAGCATATAGCATTAAGAAATATTTGACAACACAAATTCGGCTTATAAATTATCATAACCTTAACGGTCAGTGCTCAACACTTTTTTTTAATGAACAGCTCTCAGCTGAATATATTATTTTATTTAAATACATAATATACATAATTTTAAAAACTATATTCAAATATAGTGTGTTTATATAAAATTAATATGTAAACAAGAATGACAGACTTTTTTTCTTTTGTGAATCGTAGCTGCATAATAGTGTTCATTCAATGCTCTGACTTCAGCACATCCTTGGTCATTATAGATACAAAAAGCAGACAGTTTAAAATTGCGATATCATAGCATTTCTGGAAATACCTAATACACATGGGAATTATGTGATATACATTAACACATCATAAGCATACATTCTGAAGTACTAGGGTTAATTACCAATTCTGTAATTTAAAAAAAAACTGTTGACAAAAAGTAATAATACGTTGTAGGTGAAACAGAAATTAATGAATTTTAAACACTTTCTTGATTCTATAACATATTTAGATTAATTTTTATGAAACAGTAAATATCAGTTATGTAATAAAATAATCAAATAACTTTATTAACCTACTTGAAACTTCAATATTAAATATTTTTTATTCATTAGGAGATTAATATTTAATATAAATTTAAGTTTAATTTAAATATTCATTTTTTTTTCTATTTATGTTTTACATAAATTATTTTTATTTCTTTTGGGAGGGGGAAAATAGTATGAGTATTGAGTGCCCCCAAATGTTTTTCATTTATTTCGTCACCACTGGTTAGCATATTTTTGATCAATATTTAATTTCTTTAAGAAAGTTATAATTAACTTTATTTGATTTCGTGTTCACTGTACTGCATCTATATTTTTAAGTTTTAGCCTGTGTGGCAATATAGGTGATGTGTATGATAAGTAATAATAATATATTTTGGCGAAAAATTAGTAGTAATTTTTGATCTTTATTTTAATTGTTTACCAAAAAGTTAGGTACCTACTTATTTGTAGCTATTACAGTTTATTGCTCGTCTAAACAGGTTTTCATGAAGCAATCGGAGATACAATTGCTTTGTCTGTATCCACGCCAAAGCATTTGCATAAGATTGGTCTATTGCCTAAGACGAGCCGCACGTACGAAGCTGATATAAATTATCTGTACAAAATTGGATTAGATAAAATAGTGTTTTTACCTTTCGGATATTTAATGGATCTATGGAGGTGGAACGTGTTCAAAGGTATAACGACGGAAGATCAATACAATTGCGATTGGTGGAAACTTAAGTGATTAGACCATATGTTTAATATTTTTGAGACGTTCATAAATTGTATTTAAATACATACATACCGTCCATTGTATATAAGTATATAAAGATTATAATGTCCGTTTTAGATATTCTTATCAAGGAATCGAGCCACCTGTGACCAGAACTGAAAACGATTTTGATCCTGGTTCCAAGTACCACATCGTTGGAAGCGTGCCTTACATTAGATACTTTGTGAGTTTCATCGTACAGTTTCAATTCCATCAAGCATTGTGCGAGAAAGCTGGTCAATTTGATCCGAAAAATCCTACAAGCAAACCGTTACACGAATGTGACATTTATCAAAGCACAAATGCCGGAAACGCTTTCAAGTGAGATAATTTAAATATACCTATTATATAATGTTATGATTTACATATTTTTTAACACATTAAATCTAACAGTTTTAATATTTAAAACAAAAAATCATTCAATTGGTTAAGAATTTAGATCCTAAACGATAACGAATAAAATATTCGTTGTTTTTAATCTAAAATATATCTAATATAATATACCAGATACATATAATTTACACTTGCAAATCCCCGTGCACTTAGTTGGGTACCCCCGTTAGGTTAAAAATACCAACTCAACATGATTCAAAATTTGTGGTCAACTCACCAATTATACCCGGATAGTCATGATCAAAACTTCCCGTGACAAATTTCCGTGATTTACCCAATCTTTATCTCCATAAAATATTTTTAACACAGTCATTTAAAATACTGCAGAACTAAAAGTATATATTCAATCATAAGTAAAGGTGAAACAGTTTTTAAAATTGGTACCTAATAACAAATAGCTAATTTCTTATTCTATCATACTAAATTGTATAACACTATAAGGAATATCAATCATATAAAACACAAACAATTATTTAATATTTTTATTATAATTATTATTTGTATTAATTATTAATTATTAACTTATCACGATAAAATGTATAGCCTATAATAGATTCGTGGGATTGTTAAGCCTTCTGATGGTAAAAAAAATTTTAAAATCAGTTAAATATAGTTTCAGAGATTAAACTAATCAAATGAACAATTTTTTCTTTATTATATTAATTAACCCTTTTAATCCCTGTAGGGCTCGAATTTTGAAAAATCCTTTATTAGAGGTTGTCTACACCAGTGGTGCGCAATCTTTTTTGATCCACGACTCCCCCAAAATGATTTATTTTGATAATACGACCCCCTTTCCTACCAACATTATGTAAGTGTATAATATAAATTTACTTTTTAATTTGGTGTAAAATTATTGGTGAGTGGTGACTACCTGGGCCTTAATAAAATTTCGCAACCCCCAGGTTGCGCATCACTGGTCTGCACCATGAAACAAAACTGCTGTCTAAAGTTTATAGGTACGTTTTAGCGGTTATGGCTAGGCGATAGTGAATCATCCAGGACAAGTTATATTTTACAGGGTGTCCCCGTGAGGATGATTTACCCATTGCAATATCTCCATGATGATATCGAAATTCTGGTTTTGTAATATGGCTCACAGAGATAAGAATTACAATTATTTCATATTTTAATGTTTTGGTAAAAAAGTTAAAAAATATATTTTTTTATTTAATTATTTCCAAAAAAATTGACCATAACAATTTTGTAGAGTTTATTTTTCTGAAAATATTGACGTTTCAAAATTTTATTTTCATTAATTTCCTGATTTTTAATWTTTTTTTAGTTTCGAGAAAAATTGCGAATTATTTAACACCGTAATGTTATCAAACATGTGACCCATTGTGACCCACCTCGCCGCGCACATTCCCATACTCGCATTCCAATACTTTCCGTGTTCCTAACAGTTATAATTAGGGGCCGGAATTATATTCTTTTAAAATAGTCAAAATAAGATGTTATAATATTCTCTAAAAAGTTGAAAATATTCTTGCAATATTCTTAAAAAATCATAGTAAAATATGCGAAAACTATGTTTTTTTATTAATATATTCTCTTGAAATAAAAATATTCATTTATATGCAAAATAATAATACAAAAATAGCTGATATAAATAAGTATATGATAAAAAATAATATGCAAAAAATAAGCAAAATAATACATGTTAAAAAAAATTGATTAAATTATATTAATAACAACAAGGTATTTTTAATTATGAAAATTCTTAAAAACAGTTAACAACTATATTTTGCTCTATGTGTTCTGGTGTCATATTTGTACGACGCGACGGTCTGTTAATATGTTTTTATACGTGCTAATTGAACGTTTGACGTCAACTGAAGTCACGAGAGCATTTTGCAAATCAGTAATCAGAGCTGGTGAAAAATTGTCTATAAGTTGAACTTCATTATTTCCATTCAAAACTTTAGCTACGTTTTCAAAGTGATGAGCCCTTGATTTTTTTGTTAAGTTGATCAATTTTTATTTTTATTTTATTTCCATTTTCTCCAGGTATTTTTTGAAGTTGACCAATTATATTTCCAATTAGATTTATCAAATTGTAATGATATTTTATTTCTTCAAAACTAGAAAAATATTAAAAATCATAAAATTAATTGAAATATTCAATTGTAATGTTTTAATATCGTCAATATTTTCAGAAAAATAAATTCTACAAAATGAATATCTTTAATTTTTTGGAAATAATTAAATAAAAAAAATGTTTTGTAATAAATTAAAAATGAAATAATTGTAGTTTTTATCCMTGTGAATCTTATAAAACCCGAACTGTGATATCTCCATTATTTCGTGAAATATCGCAATGGGCAAATCCTCGCGGGATACCTGTTCCTATATACAGATAGAATTTCTATAGAATCGTTATGGATGGCAATATGATATTACGTGACAAAATTTGAAAAAAACAGCATTCGAATCATGGAATTATTGTTTAGAAACATTTTGATTTGTAATTTGAAGAACTCATGGAGGTATGCACAATATAACTTAATTAAATTGTTTTTATATTATTTTAGAGAAATGCTGAAATTAGGATCGTCGAAACCGTGGTTTGACGCTATGGAATTACTAACGGGACAAAGAGAAATGGACGCTGGACCTTTGTTGAACTATTTCAGCCCTTTGTACGAATGGCTTCAAAATGAAAATAAAAGAACTGGCGAACATCTAGGCTGGGAAACAAATAAAAAAAGTAATTATCATTCACATAATAATATATAATACATTCAAAGGTGTCAATTAGATTTATCAAAGATGTATATTTGATTAAAAAAAAAAAAAGAACACTATTATACTATTATTGATTATATTTTAATATTTTTCTTCCTTAAATATTATTTTAATCAATATGTAATATGTATCTAGTATTAATATAGTATTATATTATATAYATCAAAAATTTAGAAATTCATTTTTTATAATAACTTTTGTTATTTTTTTCAGTTTGCTTAAAGAAGGGTGAAACAAGTCAACCTTAATTTTGATTTATTATAATTAGGTACTCTTTTTATTAGTGATTGACAGTATTATAATCATATAACTATTATAGTAATAATTATTCGTTCATGAATTATTCGATATGTTAGTTATACTAGATTTTTATGTTTCAGTACCTACATTTTTAATGTGTACATTACTATTTCATTAATTTATTAATATATTATAAGTTATGAATATAACTTTATAAATAATTTAAATTTTACTCAACATCAATGTTTTATTGTGATTCATTATTTATTAAAAAAAAAAAGAATAATTAGTATGTACTTTACCACTGCGTAGTTTATTTTTATTCTTAATTGGTTATAGGGTGGGTCAACGAAAAGCCAGTGCCCTAAAGCATTGAGCCCCGTTTTGCGCACCATTCAACATGTATGTAGGTACCTAAAAATGTATAATATCTTATTAACACATGTACCTACATATGCGCCCATTTTGTATGCAGCGTTGCCGTTGTGATTCTTATTGTTATAGATTATATATTTATCTTGATAAATACTTAAATTAAGCAGATTAGTAGATTATATTATAATCTATTATTTAGACAATTATTAGTACTTTGATAATTATAATTGTCTTTAATAATATAATTTAAATTTTATAATTTTTTCAACATTTTGGGTTTAAAAAAATAGTCAATATAACAATAACTAACATTAAATTTAAGAATTCTAAGTTAAACAACACTTAATTAATTCACACTAAGTTTGATTTACTGTAGTCATAATTCATCTCACATAAAATGATATTAAAATACAATATAATATGGTTAAGTACATGCAATTATTATAAAAATTAATACTGTTGTTTTTTTCACACGTCATAATAAAAAATTCGATGATATCGATAAGAGTGTAACATAAAAATTAAAAAAAGTTAAAATGGGAAATATAATATGTACAATAGTTTTAACTTAATAAGGTATTAACTAATAAGTAGTATTGCTTGTATTCCAGAATACAGTTTGGCAACGTCGGACGGGTTTAACACATTTTTATTAAAAATATTTCGGGCGCAAATGGGTTATGATTTCGGGCGCAAGTGGGTTATAAAAAAGGTGTGATGGGCGCAAATGGTTTGCACCGGTTCCTACACGGTGGAAGCCAAGTACATATACAAAAAATATACTATATTTTATATAGTAGTAAAAGTTTTATTATGCATTTTATTTTCATACATTTTAATAGAAAGAAAAAAAATATATACTAAATTTTTATAATATTATAACTAGGTACCTATGTATAATCAGTTATCAAATTGATGATATTAAAATKTATCTAGAAAAATATAATTGTGTGAAGTTAGCGATGAAATGATATGACCACACTAATTCCAATCGCTATATGCATGGTAAGCCTATAAAATTATAAAAGTATAGAACCTATGAATATAGATTATAACGATAGTTTATCGATAAATTATACATTGAACACTTATAATTATAAATTACCCCCTTTGTGTATGACGTGCGGGGTCGAACTAACAATAAAATACATTCTCACGGAATGTCTTGCATACCTCGATGCAAGAAATCGCAATCATCTATCCAGCGATTTATTCGACATACTGGGACCTGTTCTGCAATCACCTGAAATTGCCGTCTACCGGAAATTCCTACAACTAACCTACACTAACCTACAAAGTACAAATTGTAATAATTAGTTATTAATTATTATCTATGATATTATATTATCATGTAATATGTATATTATATATGTATTATGTATTTATGTATATAGTATAAGTGACTAAAATAAAATATAGAAAAGTGTAATACAGACATACAGTATGAATAATATGATATTTATGAATACCTACTTTAAATTTTTTCAAAACCCTCCCCGAAATTTTTTCCTGCGTTCGCCCCTGATGCCAATAGCATATAATATAACTAATATTAGATTGATAACTTATACATTTTATTATATTTATATATAATAATATACGCAGTGTAGGAATTTACATATGTACCTATCTATTTTTTTCTATGTAGGAACTTACATAATACAATACATATGATAATATTTTTTTCTGTGTAGGATCCAGTCCCTAAAATATCCAAATTTTCGTACTACACACATAGTCCCAAATCAGTCCAATCTAAATTATACATAGTACCTATCAATTATTAATAATAATAATATGTATTTACAATAAATAATTTTATCTAAATAAAGTAGAACTTCTATTCATAGGCGTGCGCAGGGGGGATGCCGGGTATGCCATGGCATCCCCTGCGGTCTGCGGAGTCAGCTTGTTTTTTTTTTTTACATTTTTATAAACAGAAATCAGTTTAGAAATTTTTGACAGTTCAGGCTACGTATTTTATTTATTTTTTAAAAATTTTTATCAAGTAAATTTCCATTGATAATAGAAGTTGGGATAATCTCGAATCCGACGATATATCACCGCAACCCGGTGATTGGCATCCCCTGCGAAAAAAGTCTACGCACGCCTATGCTTCTATTTAACAAATGTAAAGGTTATTTAAAAAAATTTGTGAAATAGAATTTTTGTTGAAAAAAAATTTTTTTTTTATATTAAATTCATTTTAAGTTTACAAAATGCATGAAAATAATAATACATAATATCGGTAAATAAATAAAAATAAATTTAAATTACCTATATTTAGTATGTAAATTATTATAGTTTTTTTTTTTTATTCTTTGTGGTCGAAGAACTTACTGATATCCTGTATTAATATTGTTGTTTTAAAATTTTATAGAATTTAAATTCTTTATTATAAAGGTTTAATGTGAATAACAATCTTTTAAATTTCGTACTACACAAAGTGTGTCGTACTACACATAATTTTAGGGACTGGTAGGAACTAATATATGTTTTTTTTTTACCTGTTATAGACCTCGTGTAGGAACTTACATTACCCCATTCTACATATGATATGATACCAATAATACCTATATACATCAATAAATAATATAAATATAAATATATATAAATTTATTATTTAAATTTATAAATTTAAAACGTATCTGTACTGGCTGAACTTGAAATATTAACTTAAAAAAATACATAATATATATATAACCGATATAACTTATAAGTATAGGACKTATAACATAACATATTACCTATTTTATTTTTGTACAAACATTGAACGTCGTGAGACGTATACGCGTCTAACATTGCAACAATAAGAACTAACAATAGTTAGTAAAGCCACAAAATATCAGTATTCCTGGAGAGAAAAATAATTAATGAAAAGTAAAATTATATATATAAAATATTTTAACATGCTTAGAATTTTTTCTACTCTAATTTTTAAAAAAATTTCATATAATGCTTGAATAATTTCAAAAAATAAAACTTAAAACTTAAAAGAAATATGAAAAAAATTAAATCTCTCTACACAAATATTATGTATATAAAAACATTTTAACTCCCAATAATTATCGCCATGATCCCGACTCCCGAGGGTTAAATAAAATAAAATATATTTATAGAAAAACGGTAACTTTAGATTTGTATGAACTAATTGTAAGTATATTAGTACATTTTATTGTTTTTTTTTTCTAGATAAAAGAGTCAATAGAATATTTTATTAACTTAAGAACATTTATTATTCCCATGTCGTAATTATGCTCATAAATCACTTAAAAACTTAACTAGCGTAAAAATACCACATACAAACACGGAAATGAACTTACCGTTACCGTTAAGTTTCATCATGGATTGGTTCATTCTAATTTTTAAACCAACTGATAATAAGCATTATAAGAATAACGTAATCTGCTGCGAGCGTATATTTTCCATGTTAAACAGGACACCTGTATGACGGAGACAACAAATGTTCGTGTAGCCGTAGCGTCCTCTCAAAGCACTTCTTATAGTCAATAAATATTGAGCACAGGCAATGGAGATAAACACAAAATTGTTAATCTTTGCAATACTAGATTTTTGTTTATTTAAAAACGTGGAGTTCAAATATTTTAAAAATCGGTTCCGGTTTCCAACATGTTAAGGGCTTTTGGGTTCCAAAACCAGTTCGGTTACAGTCCAAGCTGTTATTATAGCTTAGTTGATAATTTTTGTAAGATATAGTATATACTATTATATTCATATACATTTTATTAACATTTTTTTAAACTCAATACTAGGCACTAGCGGGCTTAACTTATTGTGAAGCTTTTGAAAATAAATTGATTACACAATAAATTACTCACCTGCAGGGCTGCAGCAGCTGTTGCCTGTTCTGCCTTCTGCGTGTTCTGTTTTCTGTGATAAATATAGAAGTGATAAGGGTATAACAAAATACTATAATATCTAATCTCCAATAAAAAAATAGTACATCGTACATTCGTACATATCACTCATATAGTCATATTAGTGTGTCACGACTTCACAAGAGTGCCCGAGTGCAAAATATGCCGATTCACCTATAATAATTTATTTTTTAATAAAAGTACAGAGTCACCTGTTACCAAGTCTAGAATTTTATTAATTCATCTATCTACTAATCATTTTTTTCTATTCAGTGGCAGAGCCAAGCAGTTCAATTAGGCACCAGGCGTTTAGTTTGTTTGAACCGACAGACGACAAGTGATAGCACAAATTTTATTTTAGACTTTGGTTTTAACAATCAATTTTTAACGTGAATCGAGATCATTCTTTAAATGTTAAATGTCTATAAAGTTTTCAGGAAATTGACTTCTAAAAACATTTTGCCGGTACAGCAGTTAAAGATGGTAAAATATTTGAAACAAGATGAGGCCATTAACATTGATCAAGAATTGTTCAATGTATATAAATTTAGCGTTGATCAATTAATGGAGCTGGCTGGCTTAAGTTGTGCAACAGCTATACAAAAATGCTTTCCACCAATTAGTCATCCAAGAGTGTTGGTACTCTGCGGACCGGGTAACAATGGTGGTGATGGTTTGGTGTGTGCAAGACATATGAAATTGTTTGGTTACTTATCTGAAGTGTATTATCCTGTGCGCACTGACAAGCTTTTGTACAGTAATCTTGTGCATCAGTGCGAGACTTCTGGTGTGCTCGTATCTGATTCCCTAGCTGACAACATATCCACATATGACCTCATAGTAGATGCGTTGTTTGGTTTTAGTTTCAAGCCACCAGTGCGAGCAAAATTCTTGCCTGTCATGAATGCATTGAAAACGGTCGATAAACCAATCTGTAGCATAGATGTGCCCAGCGGTTGGAGTATAGAAGGAGTTCCTGATAAAGATGGAATTAATCCTGAGCTGTTGATTTCGTTGACAGCCCCAAAAGAATGTGCCAAAAGTTTCAAAGGAAAATATCACTATTTAGGTGGAAGATTTGTACCCAAAGAACTAGAAGAAAAATACCAATTGGAATTGCCTGTTTATCCTGGTGCAGAATGTTGTGTAAAATTATAAAAACAAATGTGTGTAATGTATAATTTAATTTTAAAAATATGTTTAAGTTTATATAAATATATTTTGTGATGATTTAGAAAAATTTTAAATAAAAATAAATTTAAACATAAGAGATATAATTTATTTTATGTATTATCTAAGTACAAATGTATTCTTATTTCTTTTTGCAATGAATTTAAGTATGCAATATTAGAAACATTACATACTTTTAGAAAATCTATTATTCATCTAACCTTTATTTTATTCTCCACATTGACATAAATGTATTCAGAGCGCTAAAACCTGTCTAACACGAAACCATGATATTTGTGTTTTAAAAATGCTATTTGAATTAATTCACAACGATCTTCAAAAGTTTCAAGAGCATTTTATTCCTTGCCAGTCATCTTTTAATTAAATCTTAATTATTTTAGATACTTTGATGTTTTTATTTAACTAGAAATTAATAATTATTAAACAAAATAGATATCTAGTTGATATCCGCTCGTTGTTGTCTATCAGTACCAATAAATATATAACTACAAGTCAAGCATACAAACTATTAACCTACATATGAAAACTGAAGTTAAAAATCTAACAATATTAAAGGGAAATTAAATATATAATATGGTTCAAGTCAAGAATATTGATGGTCGAAAAAGAAAAAATATAGTGTACAATTTTTCAACCAACAGATATTTTTAAAACATGAACATATTCAATGGAGCCCATCTTCTCTCATTCAAGAATAAAATAAAAAATTATGCACACAAATATATTTTTTAAAAGAATAATTATTTCTTTAACATACAAAATATTGATTAATTATTTTTTACACAAAATTAAAAAAATAAAAACACATTTCGGTTAATACAATATATTGTAAAGGTACAAAATCCACAAAATAATATACAATACTTACAAACACTTCAAATACTTGGTTTTTAGGTATTAAGAACCATAGTTGATATATTAACTTTGAATTTGATCTCCTTTTTCAAATGTAACTATAGAAAAAAATGCGATAAGAGAAAAATAGTAAAACAGATATGAATTTTTTGATATTAAAATATTATACATTTATATATGACTTTTGGGTGGTTAAAACAAATATATGGTTCAAATTTCTAAAATAATTGTCTTCAAAAACATTATTGCATGATATAATAGTTTTATTAACTATGTAATATCAAAAAAAAAATGTATTCCTATCCTCATCCAAAATTATTCAAAGTCACCATGATTAACATTAACTTGAATAAACCATAAATTTTAAAAACTTCAATTAGTTCAATTTTATATAATAGAAAATTAAAAAAAAAAAATGTATGTTCCAAAGAAATCTTACTAACCAATTGGGAATAATTCTTATTTGTCTTACCTCATCCACTTCATTATTAAATGAAGACTTAGATAATTCCACTTTATCATCAACCACAGTTAAACAGTAATTTTTACACTCTTTAATGGTTTCTCGGGGTGTATTGTGCAGCAAAATTTTAGACAAGATTGAAATTGGAAAGTAATTATTTTTGCAATTAAAACCCATACACATTGATTTTAGAATGATCCTTAAAATGTACAATTCAAATTAGATTTTAATTACAGAAAAATTAAAAGTATAGTTAAACATTTAATACTTTCTCAACATTGGTAATTGTACACTAATAACACACTGATGGATTGCTGGAAATGCATCGTATGTTTTAAATAACTGCTCAAAATTACCATTCATGATATTTAACGATAATAGCACTGCCATTTTGATCAAAGTATTTCTAAAAAAAAATACATTTACATACAACTTGTTATAACTAAAATTATAAGTGATCCCAAATTGAATTTAAGATAAAGTTTACATTTTAAAGATTTAAGTGTGTTTACAATGTGACTAACATTAAAGGCTATTAGAAAGATAATTATTTTAATTATTAAAACATTAGCACACAAGACACATCAAAATTAAGTATTAGTTTATAAACAGCATAACTACCAAAGAAATGAAATAATCGTAGTTTATTAATAGTCTTTTCTGAATCTTACATGGTTCCACTATAACTTTATAGTACCTATATTTTAAAATATAATATCTTATAATTTATGGTTTTGTTTTTTGTTAGTTTTTATTAAACTCTGGCTATGAATATGTTATGTTAAATCTTCTATCATAACATTGAAAGGTTTGAGTAGGTAAAAAGTGTTACAGCTATATAACTGTTCAAATTATATTTGGTATCTTAAGATAAATATTTGATTTGGTTGTAGAAACTTCCCAAATTTAGGTATCTTATGCATAACTTAAAAGTATCATTAATGATACTTTATAACTATTATTTGATTTTAGAATTTTTAAATTTCATTATTAACACAGAACAAAGTAAGATACTKATATAAAATTTACCAATAAAAATCTAAGTAAACTTTACCTTAAATAATTTGATTATTGATAAACTGACTTTGATATAAACGGCAAAGCTTGCTGAAGAACATTATAATCACCTAAATTAGTAACAATCAAAAGAGATACCATTTCTGAACAAAGCTCATCTGTTGACTCATCAGAGTCTTCTAACAATATTTTAATAATTTTAAAAATGCTTTCATGAAAATGTTTCATATTTAAAAACGGATCAAATGTGTTAACATCATATTCATAACACCTATAAACAAAATTTTAAGTACAATAATACACAATACATTAGTTGCTCTTAAACATCATAAAATGTTAACACTGAAACTCACTTATAAGCTGCAAATGCATGAAATCGAATAATAGGTGCCAAAATAGCCATCCAATCTTGATTAGACACGGCTTGTATAGTGGCATCTTGTCTTACAGAATTTAAACGGTCGTCGATAAAATCATACACAATATTAAATGGTACATTTGTAATTGTGAGCACTCTAAAAACATTCAAGAGTGACAAACTAATAATCAATCATATTATAAGTTTCATAAAAATAGTATATTACTCATTTAAAAGATATGATATAGTATCCCTCAGGACCGGTGGGGGTCTTAAAATATGAGGTTTACTTAATGAATTCCCAGCAGCCGAACGGCTAAAACATTTTACCATTTTATGAGGGTTACATTCCAATTGATGTACAAGTCTCTTAGATTTTCTCCTAGACAAAAACAAATAATATAACAAAATCATCATAAAATATAGACATTATAGTCCTGAAAAATTACAATAAAGTAAAATACCAGTTATGAAATAATATATTTGAAAAAAATGTATGGTCTAAACACAGTTTTCTCGGTGTAGTAAACATGGCCCAAACCAATAATTGCTAAGGTTATATTAATGTTTTCATGTTAATTTCTTACAATAGCATATTTTAATTTTTATGTTGATTTAAGTATCAAAACTTTAAGTAATAATGTATTAATAATTAATATAAATTACATTTTACTCACATCATTATTTCCTCTTTGGGGCACATTTCCATACATAGTCCTTTCACCGGTGACATTATGAACTATATTTCATTTAATTTGTTATTTCGATAGATACTAATGATACTATATTATTTTATTCTGTAGTACTATTATTAAAGAAATAAAAAATAAAACTTCCTATTACAGTATTAAACCAACCATTCACAATCTGCTTAAATATCAAATAATTATTTATTAATGTGTGATTCCTAATTAGCAAATTACCAAGTAAGCTAAATACCAGAAGTAGGTACCCCAAACCACTATAATTCTACTTTTATATTCTCAGCGACTGGTTCGTCATAATTCAAGTTGTACCAACTATTCTGTAATTTTGAAGTATGTTATTTAAATCGAAATTACCTAACCTATAGGTAAGACGATATTATAACAAATATTATTATGAAAATATGAAATTGAAAAAATTTTGCCTATGTAAACAAGGTTAATATTCAACTCCAACTGGCAACTGGCAAGTGGCAACCATCCAGATCCAGGGAAAGTGAATATATTATTATCATTATCAATKAACCTTATTCGTTTAGAAAATGTCTTTATCACAGATTTTTCAACACTGATAACATTTTATCTATATTTGTGGTTGACAATGTTATCATAAAATAAAAAATTATGATTTGTGATGGTCAATCATAATATTATTAAAATAAATAAAACACAAAAAAAAATATAAGTTTTTGAAATCATCGATCATCTACTCAGTTGCAGCACTATTTCGTTGAACTTTGAAATTGTTTGTTTTAAAATTTACTCAGAAAGTATCGTACAAATTCATGTCTATTACGAATTACATACTAATTGGATGAAATGTTAGCGACACGATCAGGTAATATTAAAGTTTTATTTGTAATCTAACCTATCTACCTAAGTGTCAGATCAGGCAAGTTCATTTAATCGATGATAAAATGGAACAGGTTAGGATATAATAGTGTCGTATGATAGGTAATATACTATTATATAGCATACGACTTAAAGAAATCAAAAACCACGATTTTATATTTTATGTAGCTTTGTTTTGTAGATACATTTTTCTGGGTTTATCCAGAAATTTGAAAAAAAGTTCTCAAAAAACTGGGTTTGACAAACCTCTAGAATAATTTTGGTAATTGCTACTAGAATGGCTAAATACTTAATAAGTACTTACATATTTAGCCATAGGCAGCGGCGTATTGACTAAAAATTTCGGCCTAGGAAATTATCGTGTGACAGTCCCACAGTCCTACCCAATATATTATATTAATTTATAATAATTTTCCATACATTTTTTTTAGGAATTGTCTTGTTTATAATTAAATTTAATGTGCGTTTAACATGTGAGTACGTTACCTACTTATGTTTATGGTCACCCAAATTAACAACTAGATTATTCACTTTCCTAAATATAGAAAATTGAAGCATTCTTAGTGTCTTAAAAAATGTCAACAGTCACAAATTATAATATTTTTTTTGAACACCAATATAAAGTGAATTAAAGCCAATATGTTTGTCGCTTCAGAATATAAAATATATTAAAACAAATTTTATAAAAATGTTGACGGTTTAAAATAAAATAAATGAACTTGTTTGTTTTGCTAAGTACACCGGCCCGGAGTTTTTATTAATACGGGGAATGGCCCACCAGGAATTTTCAGGGTATAGCCGCTGGCCATGGGTCTTATATAGTTATATATGTCGGATTTATAAAATAAAAATTGGCTAATTCGTACGTTATGCATTCGTAATGAACTGCAGGATAATAATATGATAGATGAATGATGGAATATAGATCTGAAAATCAGAGATCACCACTTCTTAGTTTTATTCATCTAAATCAAAATGTTCTATAAATTAAAAATGCATACATATAATATATATAATGGTACGACGGTACGTTAAGTGTTGATAAGTGATAACTTGATTTTGAGAATTCGATCTTGTGCTGGAAGAATGAATAATATTGCCAATAAATATAATATATACATGTATATATATTACGAACATTGCTGAGGGATTTATATACATCTAGAATCTATATCTAATGTTTACTGTTAATTCTATATGATATTGAGCAATAATTCTAAACTCCAACTCCCCCTCCTTCTCCTTAATTAGTAAAATGTTTACTTTGAGTTAAGGCCTTAGGGTACAATATTTTAAGCTTACCGTTTAAATTTATTTCCAAATTAGTGCAGTAAAAAAAACAGCAACGATATGATAAGTGGTAAAATAGTAAATACGTTAATATTATACACTGTGGCCTCCGCACTTACCACCGTCGTCCACTGAATGATTATTACTTATTCGACATCCCGATTTTATTAACCTGATGTGCAAATATAATCTCCATCATGACTCCTTTTTGGGGATTTAATTATTGAGATGACAAAATTGATCGATTTTCACCAAACTTCCTTAACTATGATTGTGTAAATTATCTTTAAGTTCTATACCGTTATTATGTGAGAATTATAGGTATTTGTTTTTGTTTTTGATCCTAATCATTTCCATGCACCCCATGTCGCGTAGACGCGTAGTATACTATTAACGACCATTTTCGTAATAATAAAAGTAATAATAATAATAATGACGACGAGGATGATGATGATGACTAATGTTGACACATCGTGGTCAGACCGTGACTCTGCATAGTGCATAGGTGATGGTCGGAGGAGAGTCGAGAACGCTGGAAATCACGGCCGTCGGACGCACGCGTCACGGTCCGAAAAACGTTTACTATTTTCTCTCTCTCTCTCTCTCTGGTTTTCGACTTCTCCTCCACGCGTCGACAACGCCGACTCGAAMGGATTTTTAAGGTACATCACCGTGAACGAACATCGCTCACCTGCATCACAATTGTCGGTGTATGCTGCAGTAGGTACACAACACTGTTGTTTTTATAATATTATAATCATCGTAGTAATAAACTCGAGCCATGAATATTTAAATATTTTATACGACCATACGGGTACGTAGCGTTTTAATGTGCAGCACACGTTACAGYCCACACTGGTAGCTAAGTACTTCATTGAAGTAATAGTTTCTATATTTATCATAACTCGCGTTTATATTATTATACTATTTATCRTAAGTACACAGCGGTAAGTACCTATATCGTATATAGTCATATAGACCGCGACAGAGATACCTACGTGGCTACGTTACAATCGTTACTCCGTGCATGGCGTATGTATATAATAACTGCAGCATTACTATAAAAACCTCGAAATTTTTGGTTGATGCCAATACATCGTACACTAGTTTTGTTTTTAATACAACCAGGTAATCATATTAAGTTGAATCTTGAATTAAAAATCAAGAAATTTTGCTCTGATATATACGTATCTAATAAATAATAGCCTGACAATTCGTCGGACTTAAAGTGTTTGAACTGCAACGGCTGGTTTGCGCACCGGCTTAGGCACTTCATAATAATGATAATTTATAGCTGTTGAAATATTATTTAAAAAATATTAATATGAAGTGCATAACGATAATGTCCGTTTTCCGCAGCCGTTCCACTGAATCGTCTAATCTGCCGAGGAGATAATATTGATAATAACACCGCCGCGGCCGTCGCCGTCTTATTATCTATTTGGTCGTCGTCGCCACTGATCGGAGGAGGAGGCGGCGACGGCGATGACGAGCGAACCGCCGATGGACGGACGACTTTGCCGTCACTACGGAGACGCGTTCTCGATGCCGGTCGACGTCATGATGCCCACCACGTACCTGGGATTGGACTTCAGCACGCAACAGGTATTATATACTTCTACGATGTTTGAAATGTTATGATAATTATATACTTACCATATTTATATTATTATATCGACTACAAATATATTATTTTTTGTGAACAAAAATATGTTTCGAAATATCGCGTGGCCATGAGCATAGGTAAGTGGGTGGGTAAGTGAGCATAAATAGATAGGTCTCAATTATTAACTTTTATTTTTTTTTTATGGAAATGATCAATGTTATAAATATTATGATAAATAATAACTATATTATTTATCGTAATCTTTACCGCTAGGATTAAATTAAATTGCATATRTTACATAATAGGTACCTAATGTCAATACGTCAATACGTGAAAGATCGCATGRCCCACCTCAGGTCTCACAAAATGTTTGCGAATTATCCGTATTTTATAGGCACGGGTTATTATACAGTGAAAASCATTTTCGATTTAATGAACTTTTAGCCACTAGATCAGACAAACACTTCGGCTCCTTGGCTCCTTCGAAAATGAATAAAAATATATGACATTTAATAGGCCATTAAAAAAGTCGTAAGACGAAATAKACTATACAGACTGTTATAGGTACGTTCGCCAGTACCTATATAGGATACTTGTTTAGATGGTATTTTATTATATATTTATATTCCACAATATATCATTCAATATCGATACTGATATGCGGTAATTTATAATAATGAACTAAATTTTTTTTCTTCAATAAAATTGGCGTTATTAGGGACTGGAAACATGCAATATCTGTAGGCGATTAAACTTAACAACCGGTTCACCGGCAATGTTTCAGAATATCTAAATGATGCAGTTGTATAGTTGATTTTTTGTGAGTCTTAATTTTCTACAAAGTGTGCGTAGGCATAAAACGATATATATGATAGTATGGCATATTTTATAATACTATTGTCTACTCCGATTATAATTCTATTTTAATCATACATTATAAGATCAGATATATAGCCATATTTTGTATCTTAAAATTTACAAATGTACACAATTAAATTGAGTTTTAATAAGAATGTAATATTYCATATTTATACTAGGTATACATAAAATATTAAACACATAATATACCCTACCTATAGTATTATATATATTTTATACATAAACCGTATCTATACTTATTAATGATAAAACAAATTCTACATACAATATATCTTTTGTACCAGTACCTATTCATATTTAATTTGAATAACATTATTTATTTATATTTAGTTTAAAAAAAAATGCAATTTAATTAGTACAGCATTAATAAAATCTGTTTTATATGAATTATGACGTACCTATTAAATTCTATATATAATAATATAGGTTATACGCATATTACAATTCAGTTTATAATAACCTAAATGGCTAAACGTATTATATTGATTTAGATAACATGTTTATAATATTTGATAATAATTAATAACAATATCAATGTATCATTGACCTTTATATATCACAATGCTAGTTTTGGTTTTATGAACATTTTTAATAATTTGATATTAAACATTRAAAAATCAGTTTAAATAAAAGAAGACAAAATTAAATTTTTGTTTCGAAATTTCWAACATAATTTATTTCGAAAACAAAATTTTCCTCATTTAATGATATTTGTTTTTGTGAAAATACTATCATTGTATACTCACTTTTGAACTCATAAGCAACCGTAACTTTACGTATCTAGACTTAACGTTTTATGGGGGAGGGGTTAAATTTAGAAATGAGGTGATCTTATAACTAACAAA